TGAGTACATACAGGTTACATATGGCATTCAAAATGAACTGTTGTTGAACTTGAAAATGTTGAGCTTAGCAAAAGCAGACGAACGAGATCTGTACCTATATGACATACAGAGGCCGCGACAGTTGCTGTTGATTTTGCTTTCTGGGACTATTAGACCGGCAGCTTAAGGTTGTTGGCTCTCGGTTGTACGCTGGAGTTGAGGGAAATTTTTTCAGTCACACAGTAGTGGTTATTATTCCGGTATCAGATCTTGATCAATAAATCAAAAGGGTCATGGTTTCTACCTCACAAGTTGCAGATCCGTGAGTTTGGAAGCTTTTTGACTTTGTCTCTTCCGTCTCTTTGTACATCTCGGACACCTACTACAGAAAGAAAAATAAAATCCCTGTAAGCTTCTACAGAGACTCATCTCGCAAATATAACTTGCAAAGATTTTTTTTTTTTTTTTTTTTCGCAAGCTAAGAGACATGGATCTTAAACTAGGTAAGAGTGATTACCGTGGCATGTGCAAAATGGTACTCAAATTTCTGATGTCTTGAGGCTTGGGAGACATGATTTTGTGGAGTTGAGACGGCGATTCAGGGTGTTGTTGTCTCGGATTCGAAATGTGGGGGGTCCTCCCCCAGCTAAAACGACATGCATGTGTTAGATTTAGTTCTATTTCTCTAAAACAAATAAATCTGAGACATGAAAACAAAAGATTGGAGGATGATTTTACCTTTGGCTATCAGTTGTTCCGATTTCTACCACGGATGGGCTAGTCAACACTGCTGAGAGGTACGTGGTTCAGTTGCCGAGAGAGAAGATTTGAGTCATGAAAGGGCTGCGAGGGAAGAGATCCGAGAGAGGAGGTGGCTGATTTTCTAAAAGACAAAAGGATTTTGCGTTTCTGAGACGCTATGAAGAAGAGGGAGCAGAGAAATGGGGTCCGAGAGAACTGAGCAAAAATAATAGAAGGACTTGCTGTGAAATGGAGAGAAAGCATTTTCAGATCTGCGAGGAAGAGAGAGATATGGGCAAGTGGGTTGATCTTAACCTTTTAGTTGGAATCCTAAGAAGTGGTCGCACGGATGCGCGACACGTGTCCAATTCTGGCATTTCTCTTGTCTGTCCGAGAACGTGGTTTTGAACTAGGCAAATAAAGAGCCGTTTGGCTCTTGGTTTCATCAAACGCAGAGAGTAGGAGGGCGCGGTGCTCAAGGTCTGTCAAAAAAAAAAAAAAAAAAAAAAAAAAAAAAAAAAAAAATTTCAAATTGCACGCGGAACCCTTTCATTTCCCAGGAATCCAATGTTTGAGTATGGTGTTCGAGGCCTTGTCAGGCCATGATGGACCACGTGATACCCTGCTGGTTTCAAATTCAAGGCAGCCTGATGCTGCACACCCCATTCTGGCGTGTTGGTAGGTTCTCCATGCAAAGGCAAAACGTGGCTCTTATTTGGCCACCCCTTTATCCAGTCTTTCATTTTCAACGCCAGGTTTTATTCTTTCCTTTCTTTACATGTTATTTTATAGTTTCTTGCATTTCTTTTTATTTTATGTCATTATATATATATATATATATATATCTTTATCTATTTATATATTTTCTCCTTTTATTTTCTTTTTATAGTCTTGTCTATTATTAATTTATTTATTTTCTTCGTGTCACAGTTTTTGTGTTGTGTTTTTTATTTATTTCTTTATTCCTTTTATTTTATTTTATTTTATTGTCTCGTTTTCTGTTTGTTTCCACACCTTGAGGACAAAGTGTGAAATAAGTTTGGGGGTGGGAAAATAACATTTTAGGTTTTAAATTTTTGTGTCGGTTAAAAGTTTTCATTCTTGTTAAGTTAATATCCATAGATTATTTTAAATATTGGAACAAATGGACATGGTGAAAGTTAATCCCACATTAGAGTCTTTTCTATTTATCGTTGCTTAGACACTAATTCATGAATTATACTTTGAACTTTGCACATCACACCAACATGGTTTGTGGGGAGTGAGATTGAAATACTTGCTTTTAGTCTAAGTTTTTTTTTTTATTTTTTATTTTTTATTTTAAGTAAAGTCAGTTATTAGTGTGAAAAAAAAAATTAAATAAATAAATAAAGTAATAATTGTCTCACCCGAGGTTCTGCCTAGTAACCGGGCCAGTCCTGCCTAATCAGCAGTGATTCTCGCGTCAAACGGTAGAGTTTTGGCATAAGGCAGGGTGGTTAGTTGGTTTCGTAGCCTTTTCAGCTCGGGTTAATAAGTCCTTAGGGGTGTTCTACACCTAGTGTCCTAAAGCCCTAGTGGTTTGGGAGTCATTGACCTAAAGCTCGCTACATGGGTTGGATCGAAAGCTTAAGTAAACCGACATTGCACGACCACTACTGTTACTGGAAAAAAAAAAAATGTTATATATGAAAAAAAAAAAAAAGTGAAAAAGAAAAAAAAAAGAAAAAGAAAGAGAGTTATATTTAAAGTTACTATGTGTGAAATAAATAAGGACGAGAGGTAAGGGTTTTAGTCGAGTCTCCTTAATTATGTTGGTTCACTTTACACCAAAGGAAGTTTGTGAATTCTTTTCTAATTGATTCTAAATGGCTTAGACTCTGTGGTGGGATTGGTTGGAACTTTTGAAAATATGTTCTAGTTTTTAAAATTTGCTATGGATTGCAACTTTGAAGGTGAAAATTTTTGTCAGTTAATTTTAGCTAGTTAGTTTGTTAAGTTTTTATTTTTGTTTGAGTCTTGTTTTGCTTGAGGACAAGCAAAAAGCTAAGTTTGGGGGTATTTGATGAGTAGATTTTATATTATATATTTTACCCTAATCTTAGTATATTTTGGTTAATATATTGGAAGAATTTTGATACTTTGAATTGTATTTTCAATATAGGACTTTCGACTTCCTCTGGAGCAAAACAGGACCAAATGGACGAATTTTGGAGTAATTCCAATTGAAGGACGTTCGTGAGTCAATTAGCTTGATCGTATCAAAATTTGGGATTTTTCCACCAAGCAGTTATTTTCTGGCGATGAAATAAAGAAGCAGTGCGCAGTGCTGAAAAGTGACGTTTTCGGGCTTAAATGACGTTTTTGGAGCCCAAGATGACCTCGGATGGGTTCGTGGCCTTCTGGAAAAGTGTTCAGAATATTCCAAACATCAAATCCAGCTATATTGGGCCAGTTTTGGAGCAGCTTTTGGGCCAAAACGTGGCTGTTCAGATTTTAGACGAATTTTACTATTTTTATTTAGGGTTTTTATTAATTTTAGTTTGCTAGGGTTTGTGTGGGGGCTTAGCAGATATATTGCTTAGCCGTCTACAATTTTAGACTACGCTTTATTTTATGCAAGATTGGAGACAGAGAGAAGGGTTAGGATTTTGAAGATTTTCTACTTGAAGGTGCTTTCAATCATTTTCTTGGATATTTTTTCTATGATTTCAATTATGAATATGCGGAACTAATTTCTTTTGCTAGGGCGAAGCCTTGAGCCTTAGCATGAATATGTGATTTTTATTTAATTGCTTATGATTGATTGCATGCATATTTTGAATTGTTAATCACCGGGATAAAAACTATCTAATTGTCTTAATGCCTGATCACCATTAGGATCTTTAGAAAAGTAATTTGATGCAATTTTGGTCGGAAGGTTCCCTGAAATTGACGCTGGCTTCTTGTGATTAATAATTGTAATTTCTCTTAAGATGAATATCACGTCTTAAGGATTGCATGGTTTTTCAAAGGATTTTCATAAAGCATAATGAGTCTTTCATGTTTAGATTTGATCCGAACGTCCGGACGGGTTGCATGTTAGATATACGTTCTATGTTGGAGGTTCCAAGTAGAATATGAATTAGGAAAATCTAACCTTCAAAGTGGCATGTGTAGATCATAAGTAATTGGTAAAAATTCATAGGATTGCTAGGTGATGGTGGAACCCTAGTGCTTTCTTAATTTGATTTTCTCAAAACTGTTTTCTTCTCTCTAATCCTAATATTGCAGTTTGTTTATTTTAATTCATTAAATTCGTTTTTATTTTAATTAGGTTATAAAATCACTCACTTAAATTTCTACTTTACAATAATTAATTGAAATCTGATTTGTTTCGGTTTAATTAATAATCCCTGTGGAGAATGACCTTGCGAGATCCAATTATACTACAATATCCTTGTAATTCTTGCAAGTAAAATAGGAGGTTTTTTATCGCATTCACATGAGCAGTAAAAATCCTATCAATTCCTATTTCTCACACAAGACAAAACGATGATTTTAAAGCATCACACTTTCCAACTAGATGACCTGACCACTACACGGCGAGGCCCATATCGTTAACCTAAGGATCATAACACAAATCAGTCTCATCTAACATGCAATTGGAGAATCCCATTTCGTTTTTCTTGTAAACCACTTAGTAATTCACACCATAAATACACTCATGAGTGTAAAGAATTTTGGAAACCTCAAACTGATACTCATTGACAAGTAACTCAAGCTTGCGATCACTAAAGCTCAATTTGTGGTTTTTGAAATTGACATAATTCTTCATTTTGATCTCTGAGACGTCAAACCAATATAAATGATCCATGAGCTTGTCCACCGTCAATCGTTGTAGTCATTCTATGAAAATCTTCAGTAAATCATTTTGTCTCATTGTTTATTAAATTGAGAGTATTTTTATCATTTTATGAAGAACCAAAATGATTGAACGATGTACAAAATCAAGGAATACTTGTATCGATTTCAAATTTCAAACACCAAAGTAAGGAGTTATATCAATCTCACAGACTATTTTAGCTAAAATGCGTTTATAAAATCAAGGAGCAATCGTCTGTCAATGGGCCGGTTCAAGGCCCACATAAATTGGACTGGTCATGCCCACCCATGTGCCCTTACAAACGCATCCCAGGGTAGATTCGCACAAGTCAGTTCGTTTGAGTTTACACTTGGACCGGGGCAAGCACGTCAATTTCAAACAGGAAAGGACAGTGTAGTAATTTCACAGACATCGTATATACAGAGTTCTTCTAGAGCGAACCCCACAAGAACACGCAGAAGCTGTTCTCGACTCTTCGTTTTCCTTCGGTTTCCCAAAAACAAAATCCCTTCAGCTTTCCGTCTGCTCTCGAAACAGTTCCACCTTGTCTACTGAATCCGGTTTTCTCCAATGTCAGGCGTTTCGATTGCTCGGATTCGGGGAGAGAATCGGTTCTACAACCCACCAGCTGTACGACAACGGCAGCAGCAGCAGCGACAAAAGCTACAGGAAGAGAAGCATCAGAGGCAGTCGGTGGATTCAGACGACTGTGCGACTTCATACAGTTCTGGTTCGGGTCGGGAAGTGGTGAGCGATGCTACGAATTTGGATCGATTTTTGGAGTACACCGCACCTGTGGTTGTGGCCCAGTATTTTCCGAAGGTATTGCAAATCAATCTTAAAAATTTCTTTTGGATTTGAAAACTTTATGAGAGATTGAAATTTTGAAGTTTTGGGCATATGCTATCGCTGATAATTTTAAATTTTGTTATCTTTTAAACTTGGATTGAAGTTTTCAACTTTAAAATTTCTTGTTTTGGGTTCCGGTGCGTTGTTTTTGTAATTGTGTAATTGTGTAGAAGTGGTTCTTATGTGTTTCCATTTGGTGATGGATAGACAAGTGTGAAGGGATGGAGGACTCGTGAGTCAGAATTACATCCATACTTTGTGCTTGGAGATTTATGGGAATCCTTCAAAGAGTGGAGCGCTTACGGTGCGGGTGTTCCTCTTTTGTTGAATGGGAGTGACTCTGTTATCCAGTACTATGTTCCTTACTTGTCCGCTATTCAGCTCTATGTAGACCCATCAAAGCCATCAACGAGAACAAGGTGAGCAATATATCAGAGTATTGACACTTTCAATCAATTCAAATTATCTTTTAATGTTGCTGCTCATTTCTGACTTATGGGTTAGACATGAATGTCATTACGTGGGGAAACTGTCGGAGCAAAATTTGAATTTAGTGAGGTAGATTCTGCTGTTCATTTTGATGTGATCAATTTATTTGTAATCATTAGTTACCTGATAATAAGACAGATCTGTAAATGTATGATGGTTAAGTAATCTCATCCACTATTGCAGATACAACTTGGTTGATTGGGTTACAATTTTTATCTACTTATAGTTATGGCTTAGAGGTCGCACTTGGTGCGATGGCAAGCACCTTTGCCCATGAACGGTAGGTCTCGGGTTCGAGACTTGGGAGCAGCCTCTCCATAAATGGGGGTAAGGCTAGCCGACATTCACCTCTCCCAGACCCTGCGTAAAGCGGGAGCCTTGTGCACTGGGTACGACCTTTTTATAGTTATGGCTTAGAGTATACGAGGATAGGAAATGTCGTCTTATCAATCTATGTTCAGAAAATGGCTGTGGTAGTAGACAGTGGGAAAGATATATTGTGATGATAGGTTTTGAAAGACGAAATATGGTAGTGGAGTGCTGTTGTTTGAGACAGCAGTGAGACATCTTGTAAACAATGGGTGACAAGATCTTTGATATAATTCATGGTAGCGTACTTGGATATGGTGTTACTTGGTGTTGAGGTGAGACGTCTGATGGTTTATGGTTTAATCTCAACTTGAATTGGCAAAACATTGCACAGAATTACATGCTAATGGCTAGTTTGAACTGTATTTTCCCTTTCTTTAGTGCAACATGCTAGTACTGAAGCCAAAGAATTACCTATCTTTATCATTTGTGAGATAAATTGTGCAGAGCCTCCGTGCACACTAATAGCTAGTTTTAAATGTACTTTTCCTTTAGTGAAACACAAAATCAATTTTAGTTAGTTGTGAGTTAAATTGCGCTTAGAGGTACACAAAATCAATGTTCACTCAGATGAAATCAATCTGTTGGCTAGTAAGTGTTCTTGTCACATAATTTTCCACATGTGTGCATGTTGTTACAGGAGGCCTGGTGATGAGAGTGATGCAGAGTCATCGAGGGAGACAAGTAGCAACGGCAGCAGTGATTATGGAACAGAAAGAGGATTTAACAATGTTCCTTATAGTGCTTTAAGTTGGCAGAATGCTGCAGATGTAAATGGCCATGGTTGGAATAAAACCTTCCCGAGAAATAAACCCTTAAATGGTTCCTCAAGTGATGAAAGTGGTGAGGCTTGCAACCCTAGTCAGCTTATATTTCATTATATGGAGCATGATCAACCATTTGGTCGTGAACCTTTGGCTGATAAGGCAAGTCACGCATCATCTCAGAACACTTAATACGTTGAGTTTTCCATTTTCATTTATAAGTTTGATGGTAACATGCACTCATCGCTACCTTCCAACAGATTTCAGTTCTTGCATCTCAATTTCCAGAGCTGAGGACATACAGGAGCTGTGATTTATCACCTTCTAGTTGGCTTTCTGTAGCCTGGTATGCTTTATTTTACTCCTCGTAAACACAGGATTGATGCATATGTTATCATAAATCTAAAATTGTTTCTGTGTATATTCTTGTTAAAGGTATCCGATATATAGGATACCTACAGGTCCAACATTGCAGAGCCTAGATGCATGCTTCTTGACCTTTCATTCCCTATCGACTCCCACAAAGGGTACATCTCTATCTCTATGTACATATGTATTATATATTTGTGTACATTCATGCACTTGCTTGTTTTGCAAATCACGTTATAATATATCATGTTGTCGGGAGCAGGTGCAAGCGCTGATGAACTTCAGTGTGGTGGTGCACGAGCTAGAGACAACCAAAATGCCGATTTCAAACTATCATTGCCAATCTTTGGGCTTGCTTCGTACAAGTTCAAGGTTTCCTTTTGGAATCCTAATGGAGTTTACAAATGCCAGAAGGCTGATTCTCTATTGCGAGCAGCTGACAACTGGCTCAGGCGATTGCAAGTTAATCATCCTGATTTCAATTTCTTTGTGTCGCACAGCATTCCAAAGAGGTGAGAAGGGAATTTATCTATAATCAGCTCGCAGTTATCATCCCAGTGTAAAAGGGATAAAACGTACTGATGACAAAAACTCTAGTCACTGGCCAGTTTTTCATGTTATTGGTTGGATATCAGTTCGCACTCCTGTCGTTATATTACATAGACTTGGCCCTTGATATCTTATATTATCATCAAAGCAGAATTAAGAGTGATTTTGGCTCTGTGAGGGCTTTGGATAGGCTGAAAGAAGAATAGTGATGACATTATCGTTAATAAAGGCCTTTTAATTTGGGGAGTGTGCTTCAGAATGGGCGTCATGTATTGCATCAGGCATTATGATTACGACTCTTCTTAGTCTATTTGCTGTATCGCAGTTTGGCAGTTTAGGTGGAAGGAACATATGTCAGTAGCTGTTTGACAATCTTCTGTTACTGTTTAGTTGATGACGATGAAAATATATTAACTTATAATTGTTTATATATCTCCGTATATGTAGAGGTGCCTTTTGTTTAGTATGTTTGATCACACCGTGTGTATGAACTAACAGTAAAGTTCAACGCAAACATGTTCTGTTTAATGTATATTCTGATCCTACAGTAAATTAGCAGTGAGATATGATGAACAAGGTGGGTGTGTCCTTGCACTCATGCTCACTCTTCTGATGGCAAATGAACTTTAGGATGTGCCGGCGTAGGACTTTGATGCAATTGCGATGCTGTTGCAACATTTCAAGCCAATCATGCATTATCATGCGTGGTTTTTTTGGAATGTTGCCACAGCGACATCCTAGTCGTCGGTAAGTTCCTCCTGTGCCTGACCTACATCTGGACAGGTATAGGGTCTTGATGGGTGCACATGGGAGTGTTATTCCAGGGACTTGTTATAGACCAGCATTCTAACTCCAATGGAATACCTGGTGAGTTTCTTACACTCCAAATCTGATCAAGGCTAAGCCCGATTCGGAAAGCCAGCTTGTCCCTTCCCATTTCAAGCATGTTATTAGTGTGCAATTTATGCAAATATGTGTTATTTAGTGAAAACAACAACTCACGATAGTAGTACTTCCATGGCACGAGTACGTATACAGTGCGTCTACGTTGAGGTTGTGCAGACTGCTGAATTTACCGCAACATTTATTCTTTTTCTTTTGAAAATTTGAAAGATTTGATTACAATACTTACGTGTATTCAATATAATCATCAGTTCAACCATCAAATGATGATTTTATTATATACATAATTCAAAAGAATTACATATAATTACTAGATGGGATTATATTAAATGCATATATATATTTGTTGCCAATCCTAAAATTGAAAGCTTTAATCAACCTGAAAGACAAATTTGCTATATCTGGTTTGGTATTGATAGAATCATAGACTAAAAGCTTACTTATGTTTATAGCCAAACGCCGAGCCTTGATGCTTCCAAAACAATAAATATGGCAACCTACCATAAACGCTTGAATAATGGTACTTTTATGTACCACAAACACTGAGTTCAAGCTTCGAACCCACAACTACCACAACAACAACAACAACAACAAAGCCTTTTCCCACTAAGTGGGGTCGGCTATATGAATCCTAGAACGCCATTGCGCTCGGTTTTGTGTCATGTCCTCCGTTAGATCCAAGTACTCAAGTCTTTTCTTAGGGTCTCTTCCAAAGTTTTCCTAGGTCTTCCTCTACCCCTTCGGCCCTAAACCTCTGTCGCGTAGTCACATTTTCGAACCGGAGCGTCAGTAGGCCTTCTTTGCACATGTCCAAACCACCGGAACCGATTTTCTCTCATATTTCCTTCAATTTTGGCTACTCCTACTTTACCTCGGATATCCTCATTCCCAATCTTATCCTTTCTCGTGTGCCCATACATCCCATGAAGCATCCTCATCTCCGCTACACCCATTTTGTGTACGTGTTGATGCTTCACCGCCCAACATTCTGTGCCATACAACATCGCTGGCCTTATTGCCGTCCTATAAAATTTTCCCTTGAGCTTCAGTGGCCTACGACGGTCACACAACACGCCGGATGCACTCTTACACTTCATCCATCCAGCTTGTATTCGATGGTTGAGATCTCCATCTAATTCTCCGTTCTCTTGCAAGATAGATCCTAGGTAGCGAAAACGGTCACTTTTTGTGATCTTCGCTAGATTGCTCCGGTCATTAGTGTGGATAAGTATATAAATGGATAGAGATAGGAAAGCAATCACACGATGTACGTGGTTCACCCAGATTGGCTACGTCCACGGAATAGCGGAGTTCTCATTAATTGTGAAGGGTTTACACAAGTACATAGGTTCAAGCTCTCATTTAGTGAGTACAAGTGAATGATTTAGTACAAATGACATTAGGAAATATTGTTGGAGAATGATCTCGTAACCACGAAACTTCTAAGTACTGGAGTGTGGTATCGTCTTGACTTTCCTTATCTGTCTCATAGGTAGATGTGGCATCTTCTCTGAAAGTACTCTTCCTCCATCCAGGGGTGGTATCTGTAACTGGTGGAGATGCACAAGGTAATGTATCAATGTCACTTGAAGCTTACTTGTAGTTTCAGGCTTGGTCAAGCGCGATACAAACCATGTAGTAGGAGTCCCCCAAGTCGCCGAGCTAGGGGATCTGCTGAAAGGGGTGACAGACAAGGTAAGCAATCAGAGCTCCGGCTGATTGTTCACATTCTCCCTATCTTGCAGGCAGCATGAAGGATAAAGAGAAGAAAAATGAGAAGAGATGATATGGGATACTTTTGCTTTTGAAGAAGTAACTTTCCACAGGCTTATTCTTGAACTGGGCTGGAGGGTTTTCTGGTTTCCTCCAAAGATAAGGCCGACTGAAGAATTTGAGGGTCAAAACAAGTCCATCAAATCTAGAGTACGTTCGACCCTGCTGATATGGGATACTTTTGCTTTTGACAGAGTAATGGATGTATCGGCACGTGTGTGCTGTTACGCTTGTCTCCACATGCTTCCTTGTATCCTTCTCACTTGCCCTATCTGTTCCTCAGGTAGATGCGGGATCTTCCCTGGAAGCATAAGATGTTGAAGATGAGTACTCGAGAGCAATGCCAGGTAAGTAATCAGGTAAGGGGTTCCAGGCAGTCAGTTCCTGGCTGGAAGCTTGATTCCAAGTGCTGACTGATTGCTCTCTTTCTCCTTGTCTTGCAGGTAAGAACAAGGCCAAAGGAAAAGACAGGGAAAAAGCATGATATGGGATACTCTTGCTTTTAACCCTGATGATATGAGATATTCTTGCTCTAGTATAGCTTGTTTACAGAGGTATTATCGGGGGGAAAGAAAGCTGAATATTTCGAAAGGCTTCGTTGGGAGTGCCCTCTCAGATAAGAGGAAGGGTTGAGCATTTTTGCAGGTCTGCATGTTCGTTGGGGATGGAGGTCGACATATATAGGAGTCTCCCTAACATCAAGTAATAATGTTATTCCTTTACCCTGCTTGGTCATAGCACGGTAGTGGGAGCTGCCAGCTTCACAAGTTTAACTCTGTCAGAGCACTTTGAAAAAGTGGTCTGTGGTATCTGGAAAGCTGATGTTGCGTGTGAAGATTACAAACAAGCTTTATCCAAGGAGATCCAGCTCTTGAAGTTGGGAAAGTGGTGCCTCTTCGGTTTTCGAACAAGCAATCCTGTCGGGGATCTGGCTCTCGAGATTCGGAGAACGATGCCTCTTCGATTTTTGAGAAAGCAATCCTACTGGGGGTCTGGCTCTCGAGATTCGGAGAGCGGTGTCTTCGATTTTTGAGAAAGTAATCATGTTGGGAGTCTGGCTCTCGAGATTCGGAGGGCGGTGCCTCTTCGATTTTGGAGCAAGCAATCTTGTTGGGAGTGTTTTCTCGAATGTGAGTAAAGGTTGGGCATGTTTGCTAGTCTACCTTGCCACGAAACACAGAGGTTGACACGCAGGGACTTTCCAATTATCCAGCAGTGGTACTGTTCCTTTACCCTCTCTTCGATTTTTGAGAAAGTAATCATGTTAGGAGTCTGGCTCTCGAGATTTGGAGAGCGGTGCCTCTTCGATTTTGGAGCAAGCAATCTTGTTAGGAGTGTTTTCTCGAATGTGAGTAAAGGTTGGGCATATTTGCTAGTCTACCTTGCCACGAAGCACAGAGGTTGACACACAGGAACTTTCCAATTATCCAGCCGTGGTACTGTTCCTTTACCCTCTCTTCGATTTTTGAGAAAGTAATCATGTTGGGAGTCTGGCTCTCGAGATTCGGAGGGCGGTGCCTCTTCGATTTTGGAGCAAGCAATCTTGTTGGGAGTGTTTTCTCGAATGTGAGTAAAGGTTGGGCATGTTTGCTAGTCTACCTTGCCACGAAGCACAGAGGTTGAAACACCGGGACTTTCCAATTATCCAGCAGTGGTACTGTTCCTTTACCCTTGTGGGTAATAATATGGTAGCTAGACCTTCAAAATTTATGTGTCTAAACTTTGTTAGTGTTGTTTCTTTGCTAATCTTTTACCCTTCTTGGTCAGAGCGATGTAGTGGGAGCTGCAAGCTTCACGTGTCTCAACTTTGTCAAAGAACTTTGGCAGAGTTATATGTGGTACCCATGAGCTACTGTTGCGTGTGGGAAGTGGGTGATTGAACAATACGATTCATGTGCTTTCTACTTCGCCAGAAATCTTCGACAGAATGCCTATAATTTCCGCAAAGCTGAGTGTGCGTGTGACAGGTGCTGACAGGGCTGGAAAAGTAGGTGCCTCTTCGATTTCTGAGATCGGCCCTCGTGGTCTCTGAGCAGCCCAGCTTTTGAGAAAGCAAGCCTCTTCGATTTCTGAGATCGGCCTTCGTGGTCTTTGAGCAGCCCAGCTTTTGAGAAAGCACACGCCTCTTCGATTTCTGAGATCGACCCTCGTGGTCTCTGAGCAGCCCAGCTTTTGAGAAAGCAAACGCCTCTTCGATTTCTGAGCAGGCGCCTCTTCGATTTCTGAAGCTTCATCGAGTGCAGATTTTTATAGGGGCTGACATTAAGTTCCAAAGCACACTTGAATATCCACCAGTAGAAGCTCCATTCTTGCACTTCTAAGATCTTGATTTGTCCGACCTCTTCTCTCTTCAACACCTTTGAAAATGTCTGGCCCCTCCGACCGTCGTTTTGACTTGAACCTTGTTGAAGAGGCAGCCCCGCCTTCTCCAGACAACATATGGCGCCCATCTTTCGTCTCCCCTACTGGTCCTCTTACCGTTGGGGATTCCATGATGAAGAATGATATGACCGCTGCGGTAGTGGCCAGGAACCTTCTCACTCCCAAAGATAACAGACTACTTTCCAAACGGTCTGATGAGTTGGCTGTTAAGGATTATCTGGCTCTTAGTGTTCAGTGTGCAGGTTCTGTGTCTAATATGGCACAACGCCTATTTGCTCGAACCCGCCAAGTTGAATCATTGGCGGCTGAAGTGATGAGTCTCAAACAGGAGATTAGAGAGCTCAAGCATGAGAATAAACAGTTGCACCGGCTCGCACATGACTATGCTACAAACATGAAGAGGAA